TTGGAGTAGATTACTGAAAGTACTGTGGACCTCCAAAAGAACAAATAAATCTGTGTTGGACGAAATATAATCAGAGTGTTCCCTGGAAGCCAGAATGGCCAGACATTGTCTGTCTTACTTTGGACATATTATCAGAAGGGAACAGTCCCTGGAGAAGAATATCTTGTTTGGTAAGTTGGAGGGTCATAGAAAAAGAGGAAAACCCCCAATGAGATGGATTGGCACCATGGCGGCACCAATGGGCTCAGGCATGGCAACAAAAGTGACGTTTGTGAAAGGCTGGTCAGTGTTTCATTCTGTTGTACATAGGGTCGCTATACGTTGGTTCTGACTCTATGACACCTAAAACCAAACAACACAAGAGAGAAGAATGGGACTTCCCAGGTGGCGCAAACAGTTAACTTGCTTGGCTGCTAATTAAAAGGTTTGAGTTTAAAGTTCCACTGGAGATGCCTCCGAAGAAAGATCTGGTCTATTTCCAAAAAATCAGAAATTCTTATAAAGCATTAACCAGCATTGTTCTACTCTAACACACTTGGGGTCATCATGAGTTGGAATCCACTCGACCTTATCTGATTTTATAAGCAAAATGCTGCCAGTTAGAGTATGGAACAATGTTTGTTTTAACCTGATGTGATTATTTTATGCCTCTTAGAAATAATTTTCAGGCTTATGAATGCATGGTTTTTCAATCGTAAAGCTCTGTGCATGCATTAACAAGGAAAATATTCACAAAAATGTGTTGGTTAGGTATTCCTAAACCTTCTTTGCATTTGGTTTCCAAGTGTCTGTGGCCATCTAGCTCTTTTCCACCAGGAGTGTTGGTGAGGCAGCGCGTCTTGAAATGCAGCTGAGGATTTTCTTCAGAGCTCCTGACACCCGTCCTGGTTTTGATATGAATATAAGAAAATGGCAAGTTCATCGTGACTGCTGCCTGGAGGCTGGTAGCTAACTTACTAACTTGATGTTGAACCAAGAGGGGTGGGGAAAAGTGCCTCTAAGATCAATAAATGCATTTCTGTGCCCAAGTGATGTGCACGGGGTTGGGTAGGGCTGTTTTAGAAACCCTGGTAGAGATGTATATCAAGGAGGCTGTGGTTACGTGAGTCTCGATTTCAATCCAGAGTCAGAGCTAGAGAAGTGGGTTTGCAGATTTGCCATCTAGACACAGCTGCCAGCCTACAGGAGACCATCTAAGGAAAGTGCAGATAGGGGAGTAAACCAGTATTGATCTTTGGGGTAAACAAGTGTTTAGAAAACTTAATAAGAACTGAAGGGACTGAGTGAGCAGCCAGGGAGACAGGAGATATGGAAGAACAGGTTTGGGATTTGCATCCTACAGAGGGAAGGAAGGTCAGCTGGGCCAAGCAAGTGATGCTGAGAGGTTAAGCAGAAGGACAGTGGATTTGACTCATGACCTCGAATACGGGTTTCTGAAATTAGAGGCATAGACGTTAGACTGGGTAGAGGAGCCAGTGAAACGAACTAGGGAGAGACAACGTGTTCAGACATCAAAAGAGGCGGCCAAGACAGAAGAGTAAACGCTTGTTTCTATGCTAATCCCAAACCGAAAAACTAAAATCCTACTTATAACGGATGTAAATCTTTACGGAAGCATACAGCGTCATGTCTTCCCTGGAGAGGCTGGTGTGCTTGGACCAGTGACTCAGCACTTAGCAGCCCAACGCTTAACCTACAGCGTCACTAGGGCTCGTTATAGGGGTAGTTGATGGCACAGAAGAGAATTCACTGTAGTTGTAAAGAACTGGAGAAGGCGACGAGGTTATGCAAAGGAGGGGGTCAGATCTGGAATCAAGCCCCATCGCCAGAGCAGCCAGCAGCGATGCAAGCGAGAAACCTCTTGAGGTTGCACAGGGCTGCTCTTCTAACAACTCGGTGCTATCTGGGGCTTCACTTCCGTAATAAATGAGGAACTCCAAGTGTGGCACGGTTATTGGCATTTAGCAGGAGGTCCAGGCCCGTTTATACCGGACTTGTAGAGCGCGCGTCCCACACAGCAGCCTCAGTCTGCGACCCACACACGATTCTCCAGCAGCTCGTCCAGCCCCTGCCTTGGCCCCAGCGGCTGCCAAACCCGAAAGCCCCGCCCACGTGCTCCCTCCTCCAGCGTCCTGGAGACAACTTCCAACGTGGCGCTACAGACTGCGCAGGCTCCGCACACAGGGCAGCAGGAACCGCCAGGGCGGAGGCAGGGGCGTGGTGACGCCATCGCGCACGCCCGGAGCAGGTGGGCGGGGTGGTGTCGAGCCGGGCTTCGCCACGTCGGCGCCGGCGGCCGGGGGCGTGCCCGCCCGTCAGACGTCCGCGCGCGGACTCAGGGCCCGCGCTGCCCTCGCGCTCACTCGCTCCTGACCAGTGAGCTTACGGTCTCGGCCCTGCGGAAGCCGGCACGCCATGTCTTCACCTCCTGAAGGGAAGCTGGAGACGAAAGCTGGACACCCGCCCGCCGGTACTGACTCGTTTCCCTTTCTCTCCTCGCGCGGTCTCTCGGCCTGCGCGTCCTGAGGGAGGGCTCGAACCCGCGGCCGGGTCCGGGCGGCACTGACGGGGCGCCGGGCGGGGGCTCTGCAGGGAGGGAGCGCTGGCCCTGCGAGGCGATGGAGACTGACTTGCAGGACAGCCGACTCCCCAGCCCCTAAAGTTGGGAAACCCCTAAATGTTGCCACAATCCCCAACGACAAGCCCCGTAATCGACAAGCCCGTGGCATTCCACTCTGACTAAAGACCCAAAAGAGTGTTCTTTCTTGCTGTGTTTTTTTGTTGTTGTTTAGTTTTTTCCTTTTTTTTAAAAAAAACCCAAACCATGAATCACTCAATATGACTTTCATATTCCGCTTTTGGTCCAATTGCTGGATTCCGGGAAGCCCTAAAACTTCTAAGGCAAAAAGGTGGACCCCAGAAAGAGTCACGTTTCCCCAGCCACCTAGGTGCTCAGCCCTCCCATTCGCGTCTCAGCACAGCGCCTGTGTGCACACTACACTGCAGGCCTCCACGGCTCCTTGAGCGACTGGTCAGCCATATGGAAGGACCACAGGAGCCACGTCACCCCCAGTGTGGCCTTCCCTGAAGGTCTTCATTGCACCTGTTAGTGTCACAAACTCAAGTCTTCAAAATAGCAGAAACCATAGAGAAACCCGTTTGCAAGATCCACTGCCATCGAGTCAGTTCTGACTCCCAGCATCCCCAGGTGGTGGTCATGGTGGTGGTGGTCAGGTGCCCTAGAGGCAATTCTGACTCATAGTGACCCTGTAGATGGTTTCCCAGGCTTTAAGTCTTTCCATCTTTCTTCTGTGTACCAAACCCTAAAGGACTGAGGAGAACGCTATAGGGTTTCCAATGCTGTAAATCTTGAAGGAAGCAAATTTCAAGGAAGCAGCTGGTAGATTCGAACGGGCATTGTTTCTTTCAGTTAGCAATCCAACACTTTACCCACTGTGCCACCAGGGTTCCTTGGTTGCAGTAAGGGTTCTCAGTGTCCACTGGCCCCTCGTGTGCCCCCTACCCTTCCCAGTTCTCTTCTGTAGGGCTTCACTTGTCTGCCACACCAGCTCTTGAAAGAGGTCACATTCCAAAGGAGGTAACATTGGCGGTTCGCAATCCAGCAGGAGACAAACGGTATGCCAAAGGAAAGGGACTTGAGGCTGGAACATTTAGAGCCTCCCTCCACCATGAAAGAACTGGGATTTGGGGTGATTTCAGAAACAACAGTTGGATTCTTTTTGTGCTGCCTTAGTGCAGAGGTACCTCAGGAAGAATTTGGTCTGTGGATAATGTTGTTAAATGCCATCAAGTCAGTTCTGACTCACAGTGACTATAGGGTTTCCAAGGAGCAGCTGGTGGGGTTTGAACTGCCGACCTTGCGGTTCAAACTGACCTTGCAATCTAGTGCTTACCCTATAGCGCCATAGCAGAACTCCTTGTTGTTAAGTGCCGTTGAGTCTGTTCTGACTAGTAGCAAGCCTGTATAGGGTCTCCAAGGAGCAGCTGGTGAGCTTGAGCCACCGACCATATGTTAGTAGTGCAGTGCTTATCCTACAGAGCCACACCAGGAGTCTACAGAGATATGGTTGTTGAGTCAGTTCCGACTCAAAGCGACCCTGTATAGGGTCTCCAAGGAGCAGCTGGTGAGTTTGAACCACCAACCTTGTGTTTAGGAGGCCAGTGCTTATCCCAGAGCACCATACCAGAATTGCATGCTGACCTTTCATTCCTCCCATGGGTGAGCTCATGTGCAGCTGCAGAAAGACCTGGCAGCACCACCATAGGGCGGAACGCCTTTATTTGCACTGAAGGCAGTGCTGCTTCTCCTGGACTAGGTACCAGCTCTCTGCACAGCTCCTCTCTGTCCCCAGGGTTCTGTGTGCATTACAGGGTATGGATGTTGTTGTTGTTGTTAAGTGCCATCGAGTCGCTTCCGACCCATAGCGACCCTGTACAGGGTTTCCGAGGCTGTAAATCTTTACGGGAGTAGAAAGCCTCATCTTTCTCCTGCATAGCGGCTGGTAATTTCGAACCGCTGACCTTAAGGTTCGCAGCCCAATTCATAACCACTACGCTACCAGAGCTCCTTTAATCTGAATAGCAGGAGTTCCGTTATGTGTAGAGATGTGTCCATATGGAGATTTTTCATATTAGAAGTGTTGTTGTTGTTGTTGTTATGTGCCGTGGAATCGGTTCTGACCCACAGAGACCCTGTACAGGGTTTCCAAGGCTGTACATCTTTATGGGAACAGAAAGCCTCATCTTTCTCATGCGGAACAGCTGGTAGTTTCGAACTGCTGACCTTGAGGTTCACAGCCAGATTCGTAACCACTACGCTACCAGAGTATAGTCTGTACATATTAAACCCTCACGAGACATTTCATGAGCAACTGGGATTTTCTTTGAATTGTCAAAGAAAGAGGTAGGCTTTGTGAGTGGGAAATTAATAGCATGCCTAAAGAGAGAAGGCCCCAGTTTTGTGCTCGTGCGACAGTGAATTTGGGTTCTCAGTTTGGAAACGTGTCACTTTGAGTTCTATGAGCTCAGTTTCCTGTTCTGTGCAGTGCCAAGGTTTGGTGGGTTTCCCCTGGGATTTGCAGGGTGGTGCTCACAGGAACTCCTTAGCTGCTTTCCTTGGCACACAAGAGTCCCAAGGGCTGGTAAGCCTACAGATCAATGCCTCAAGTGAGTCAAGAGGTTCTTTCAGCCTTCGAGAGTCCCTGTGTGGCACAAACAAATCCATGCTTGACTGTTACTAAAAGATTAGTGCGCTGAAGAAAGCCCTGGCAATCTGTTTCCCCAAAAAATCAATCTTTGGAAACTCTGTGAAGCACAGTCCTACTCAGACACCCATCATGTTGTTAAGAGTTAGAATCAACTCCCCAACAGCTGCTTTGGGTTTTAGCCTTCGGGGCCCAGATCTTGCAGGAACAGTTGAAATGAGTTGCCTTTGTTGTTGTTGTTAAGTGCTGTGAGTGGATTGTGACCCATAGCATCCCTATATAGGGTTTCCAAGGAGCAGCTAGTAAGCTTGAACCACTGACCTTGCCGTTCAAATGGCTTTACAGCCTGACACATTAACCCACCGTGCCACACCGGGACTCCTCCACTAGTTGCCTTGGGAAAGCCCGTGTGTTATCAGGCCTGTTGGATGTGGACAGAGTCCGAAGGAAGGGCCCATCAGCCCATGCCTGGAGGTGCAGGTTAGAAAGCAACTTTCTGTGGGTCCATCCTCTGCCTTGTAGCTGTACCCCACAGGCATTCCCTTGCCTGTTCAGTGTGACCAAGCCAGAGAGTAGGCAGTTCTGCAGAGTAGGTGTTTAAAGGTTAAAAAAAAGAAAAAAAAAGAAGAGGCAATCCACTGTAATAAAAGATAATCATCAAGGATAGCCAAGAGCACAGTTCATCCATCAAAATCATAGCCTTAAACACTTGGGGAACACTTTCATTAAGTGCTTACCTCAGACAGGTGCTCAAACCCACAATAGGGAATAGTAACATTCTCCTGCTGTGCCTGTTCACTGCTCCTATGTGTTTGCTCGGGGTGCTCTGGTGTAAGCCCAGGCGACCCCTACCTCCACCTGTCTGCCTCCCGTCTCCTGGCTTCTGGGACTGGAGGTTACCCTTAGCTCAGGGCTGCCACCACACACTCAGTGTCCTGGTTCTCTTTTCACTCTCCACCCCCCTTTGCACACTCCCTGCCCCTGCCCTGTGGCTTGAGTGGCCTCACCCCTTTCTCCATGTCCCATCCCTGCCTCCATCTCTGGTGTCGCTGCTTCTCTGGATAAGGTCCCTCATTCTGCTGAAAGCCCTTCTTGCCCATAGTGGGTACAGTCACCAGCCACAGGCCTTTTCCGCAGTGTAGCTGGATGGATATGAGCAGTGGATACCGCTGCCTCAGGTTCTAGTGCGTGGGCAGGAAGCTGCGGGCCCTGTAGAAGTCATCAAGTCTTAATGAGTTGAGACCTCACCGCTGCTCTCGGCTACAAAACATTTGCGGAGAAATGGGGTGACACTGCTTGTTCTCGGAGCCTTACTGCAGATACAGATTAGCCGAGGTGGAATTAGTGGTGTTCTGCAGCAGAAAGCAGGGGATAATTACAAGCCCAGCAGCACTCACGTCAGCCCATCTTTGTGAGTTTGTGGCAGTGATGTGGATAAAACCTCTGTGTCAAATCCATTTGGCTGGCCCCGTTCCCCTTCATTTGCTGCCAGGGGAGCCAAAACCATATGTCACTAGACAGTCTCATAAATTTAAGATGTGACCACTTTGAGTATTACCAATTTACATATAATTTTGTTTAAAGCGCTTTAATGGCTAAAGCGCTCAACAGCGAACTGAAGAAAAATAGGGCAGTCTGCTCATGGAATCCCAATGAGACAGTTCAGTACTTCCCTGCAGGGTCTATAGGAGTTGGAATCAACAGCAGGGAATATTTAGGTTTCTTTGAAAAGTATAAAAAAGTGTGTGGGAAAGTGTTACTGTCTTTTCATTTTGAAGCCCCATCTTGTCTTATATATTGCTTTGAGAACTCAGTCAGAAGCGCCTGTGAGCACAGTTGAATATATCTGAATTAAAATGAGAGACTATTCCGCTTCCTTACTAACTTGAAAACAATCCCACTACTCTGTTGTTTTAATAGAAGACAGGCGGCTCTGAAGGGTCCTGGGTGACAGTTCTCCACGAGGAGTTCTCTCCCTGCTGGAAGGTTTTCAGACGATCTGGGTTGCCCTGGCTAGAAACCAAAGACTCCTGTCTTTTCTCATGTTAGTCACCTCGGTCCAGTCCTGGATGGGCTGAGTACAACACCAACGTGTCCATCACTGTCATGAAGGCTTTACAGCTTCCAGGCAGCAGGCCAGTCTGTGTTGTCCAGTCCCATTTGGTTCTGTGTGCAGGATTAGCTTCCTAGTGCTGCGGGAACAAATGCCCCTAAACCGGGTGCCTCTGTACTGCGGGTCAGCTCT